GGTACGCGCTTGCGAATACGCAATTTCTGAAAAATCATCATCATCATCATATTTTAGCTATTAACTGTCCACTGCTGAAGATAAGGCAAGTAAACTGAATACAAGCCTTCCCCATATGGGGAGTTTTGCTAGTAGTTTCCACGCTTGGCAGGCAAGTTGGCAACCGCAGTTATACTTTTAGTGATGTATTAAGAGGGACTGTGTTGCCTATTCCTCAAATATTAAGTTCCCTAAGTTGTTTCTTTCGACACCCACGGGAAAAAAGAAGTGGCGTAGTCTATATATGGCATAATTCAGAAAAATATATATTCTGAATTATAATTATTATTTTATATAATATTTAATTTAATGTTTAATAAAGATGTTATTAAATATTTACGAACTCTTGAGAGGAGCAATAGTTCGAAACCCACGATATCTACTATTAATTCGTGGAAATATATTCTACTACCGTTTCCTTAGAAATTGATATATGAATATTTCTCGGTATTATTTATTTAACTGGTAGAAAGTTCTGTTAAAGAGAAAACTGACCTGGAAGGATTATTTCCATTATCATATAGTGAGGCAATGCATACTCTTGCTGATCAACAGTGACTATACAGATATTTTTTTTTATTTGTAAATAATTTTATCTACTAATGTTAATTTTATGTTTAAATAGAGTTTAGTTTTTTCTTTATGATAAAACTAAATTATAATTATTTTTGCTAATATAAATATAATTAATTTAGAGATCAACATGATATATATTATTCATTACAATTTCAATTTTGTTAGTGAAGTTTAATAATGTCTAAAAATTATGATAATTTAATATTTTCACTTAGCGACTGTGGAATCAAAGAACACAAAGACTTTATTAGAGCTGCCCCTTCTTGGTAGCCTTTCGACCCTCATAATTATGGAACAGTCATCATCCATCATAAAATGAACTGCTTTCAAAGTCTAAACTAATTAAGCACTTTATTAAGGTTATTTTGACAATTTCCGTTAGGTATACATTTGTTTGTAACAAAATTTTAATGTAAAAGATGCTGATTTAATGTATTTAAGTTAAAATTTTAATGTTGCATGAATATGAAATTGTTATTGTGAGAAAGGCTTTTTTGAAATTCACACGGGGCATCTGAGATTTAGCGCGTTAACATTGCTCGTGTAAGAATCATCTAGATACAAGGAAATGTACTTATTCAGTAATGTCAAAATAATTTTATTTGTTTTAGATTAATTTAATATTGTTTTAGATACTATTATCATATTAACCGTTATCTGTTCATTGCTGAATATAGGCCTCTTCCTTTAGAAGGAGTATTGCCAATAGTTGCCAAGCTTGGCAGATGGATTGGCAACCGCAGTTAGGCTTTTGGTGATATTTTAATAAGGACACTGCTGCTCATTCCTCAACCATTAAGTTCCTCTTAGTCGCTTCTTATGATACTCATGGGAATGGTAGGGGTGGCCCATTGTATGCCGATATATATTAAATATTATAGTAATAAATCTTATTTGTAAACTTTATCTGTTAGAAAATAACGGAAAAATTTTAGCAACGGGTAATAAGATATGCTTATTACCTGTCTGTAATAATTCTGACATTTTGCCGATAAACTCTGGATTGTTTTGTAATTAATAAATAACTACTACTTAGTAACTGAACTATAGAATAACAATTCAACTTAATAATGAAACCACATTAATACATAGATGTTTAGATAGACATACAACCAGTTTATTTCATTCGTGTCTTTATTTTTAATAAATTTTAAAATATGGAGGTTCTCAATTCGCTTGTATTTTTTGTTTGTTATCTCATGACTTCGTCACTAATAAGGCGTTTTAGAAAAATCTTTTTTTATCTAAAAAAGAAGTACTTTCACATTGGTCTCGTAGAAATTTTATTAAAATCCGTTCAGTCGTTTAGTATTTAAATCAAAATAAATAGTTTTACCACGACTGCAGTTAGGGTTATTTTTTTTATGAAATAAAAACCAATTATAAAGACTAATTTAAACCTTAAAATGGTTTAAATTATTTTCAACCATTTATTATCCACTCTTAAACTTAGGCATAGACAAAACAATACCTCAATATGTCTTTCCGTAGATTTAATAAATAACGATATTAAATTAATTCCATTTTTAGGACTAGTAATTTAATGTAATTTTAATACAATATTAACTATATTACCTATTACAATATTAACTAGATACCAAAAAAAATAAAAAGAAAAAATACAAGCCCCTAAGAAACTTATGTCACTTAACAGTATCAATTCGCCTCGGATAATATTTCATTTTTTTCAATTTTCTACTTTATAATTATTTTTTATAAAAAGCATCTTTCAAAATCTTTTTATCAATTTTTATAATAGCAGTAATTTTCCCCAAGGACTCACGGGCTTCACCAACCACTGATGACGGTGATAAACCGCCTGAAAATCCTATGGCTGGCAATAAACAATGATGGCAATAAATGGCTGGATGTTATTATGATTACGCCGTTTTGTGCACGAGAAATTGTCTCGAGCGACCTCTAAATCGTTCCGATACAATTCGAATTGCAAAACAGAATTACTTAGTACATTTTCCTTTTATAAGGGACTTATTTTCTTCTCGTTTTATCATTTGTCACTGTTATAAAGAGCTTATTATATTATTTACAAATTAATAGACTTAATAAAAAAGGAAAGTTAAAATTTAGTAAACAAGTATTAAAGATTGTTTCTTAAAAAAAACGCGAGTGTTTAATTTCGATTACAATGTGGAAAATATCGGTAAGAACTCTCTTAGAGCATAGATTAGAGGTAACCAAATAGGTGACATTACCAAAAAGGATCAATAGATTAATAAATATGGCGGAAGCGAAAGAGGCCTGTTCGAACGCATTTGGCTTTCTATTATTTCTGCTTACCCGAATAGGAGACAGCCTTAACGTATACGAGTATCTTTGTATAAGCGCATTATCTTCTACTTATAGGAAAGTATCGGAGGATATTACTCGCATATCATCGGTTGTCGTGATGTTGACAGTGTAGTGAATAATTTGAATCAGTCAATCATTATTGCGGACATCCATATTTTTAGTAACAGAAGATTCCCGAGAATTAATCTTAAATCCAATATAATTAAAATGCTTAAAATAAATCACCGCTTTTCCGTTGTTACTAGACTGGTTATCTTCATTAAATTCTTCCAATATTTTTTAAATAATTTTATAAAAAGAACGGAAAGAAGAGTTAATTGTGTAACAGTTTAAGTTTAAATGGCGAAAGTCTCTAAAATCCATTTATATTGCAGGTATAATATTGTACTCTATGTCTGTGTAGTACATCACATAATCCTGTAAGTTGCCAACACTGGGGCGGAACGGTTGGTACGATGGGAAAATTTAGGTGAGATTAGCTAATGGGTGTGAAGAGGGCTTGTCGCTATCACAATTGCACTAAATTTACCTAAAGTAAGATAATGGTTACTCAGGGGGAATGAACATCTTATTAGCATATTAATGTGGACAAAACAGGTCGCATGACTTAAATATAAATAAGAGAAGCAATAATTTAATCCTACGCTCGTATATCAAACGGACTTCAATTAATTTATATCAATTAATTTTTATTAATAGACACAATTTATTATATTATACAATTCGATATTTTTATATTCTTGAAAATCAATACATTACTTCTTCTTTGTTCGTTTTTTATTTCATTTTATTTTTAAATTTTGAGAAAAAATTCTAACTATATTTTTAGCTCCAGTTTCGTTGTGGTTACGACAGTATCTCAATATTTTGCTATGTCAATAGTGTGTTGTAGAGCAAACAATCGTTCAGTATAAACAACTACAGTTATAGACATCCACACTAGTGACTCCATTTTGGACATTTTCATTCGTCGACTTTTGGAAATGGGCTTGAAGGTATTTATATTAATTGATTTAGAAAGAGTGAAAAAAATTTAGTGCAAGATAATATAATTAATAATATTTACAATTAATTAATTCAGAGATATAATAAGTCGCGATACACAAATATTTTTCCTAAATCAATTCCTTAAAACAAGAATATGTCAAACATGTTACAATTTATTTTTCTGTGCCTAAGTAGGTTTCAACACATAGGTTGGTGTACGCTACACATTATACGTAGCGTACACATATCTTGAGAAATTTTGTCTGTAGACAAATTTTGCATTATCTGTGTCTGAACACACTAAGCTTACTTGAACCATTTGAGGTTTTGGTAACCCCGTTTGCGCTATCGGTATATGATGATAGGTGAGGACGAAATCAGGTCAGTTGGCCCGTTGTGACAAATCAATCATGTTTTTAGGGGAAATTGCGTGAAGGTCTCTCTGACAGAGTGTATTACTATGGGGCCGCTGGTCCCCGTTTATAGTAATTCTTTTTCCCCGTGAAATATCATCTGGTCGTTCGGTATCAATATGGCTCGCACGTTATCTTTTAACTTAAGAAATAGCTACCATTCCATTAGTTCCATTCGTTCCATGAACAACACATGAGGGTCATGCGGAAAATAGGAACTAATGTTGTGTTACCCTAAAAATTACACTTTCTTATAGATCCTAGAATATAAACTTATCATATATATATATATACTTTTTATAAATATACATTATACATAAATGTATAATGTATATTTATAAGAAAGTTAGTTTATAAATATTTGATAGTTAATAATAACTACTTCTTTTAAAAGTTAGAATAAAAAATGAATAAATATGTTTATGACTGTTACCCTGAACAGTATAATTAGAGGTATTTGTCGACTGTTGTTGTGAAAATAAAACAAACATTATTTATAATTATAAAACTTCTAAATTTGCCTATTATGAAAATAAGTTCTAAATTCGCGTAACATAAACAGAAAAAGCAATTCGAATGAAATAAGAAACTTTTATTTTTTCTTTTCTTTAGATAATGGGGATCTAAAATAAAGTAATAAAAGTAAATGAAATATAAATATCAATAAGTACTCACAGTCTGCAGGTAAAAGAGATACACGACGTTTATAACTTCGACGAGCGTTTCCAGTCCCATTGCCACTATCCATGGCAGCAGCATAAACTTTATGTCCTGTAACAAATAGATTTTTTTTAAAACACTATCACAATTTTATGTTCTATCATCGAATAAAAGAATGCTCATTAAAAACTCAACACAAAATCAGCTGTGAAGTTTGATCAACAGTACCAACTGGATGTCCGATCAAAACTCCGAAAATGTCTGAACGAATAATACCTCACTTATATAGAAATTTCTTCTTTTTAGTAGTTTATAATTTTCATTGTAAGTTTTTTTTTTCATTTAAAATAAATTAATTAATTATAACCAGAAGATGAAAATTTTATCTTCTGGTTATAATTAATTTATTTACTTTGTATTCGTGAGATTTTATCTAGTCGGTATTGTTGATATTGATCGAGACCTGTCAGGTTAAAATACATAAGGGTATTTTGTGTATTCTGATACGTTCCCACTTATTTTTTTTTTATTGATTGACTTTTCAAACATTTCTTAAGTTCTAAAGTTATTTTTGTTGAGATAAATAGAAATAATATTTATATTTGGAAGTTCATCTGCTAATACAGTGCAAGCAATAAATAACTTTGGCACCTCAAAGCACCCCTTTGCGCCATTAAATATTTCCGATTCACTCAATTAAGGGAATTCCATTAGCCATGTTTAAAAGTGTCATCCCTCTTCTTGAAACTTCAGAATTTTACTAAAAATAAATCAAAAAGAATATGATGTAAATTAAACAGTCTAAACAGATAAAGTACATATATTCGATTATGACTATTTTAGATAAAGATAACCTTAGCATTTGTATATACCTATGACAGTAACTATATACATAACAAAATAACACAAATACATAAAATAACGTTTGTCCTGCAATTTGTTGTATAAGGCCACAGTTTTTGTCCAATATCCAGAACAAACATCCTTTTATACTGGACTGTATTTTTTAATAATGAAATGTTATAATAGCTAAAAATCGTATACTAGAGTATTACACCGCACAAAAAATCCTGGCTTAAAAGGGTAACGCGAGAATAATCTCAATCGAATGTAAAAATAAATGAATCGATTCAGAATTGAGGAATTGAGAATCTTCTCTATTTACAAGTCACTTAAAATATTTTTTACGCTAACAGTTGCAAGCAATAATAAGACGTTTATAATCCAAACTTTGTTACATATCCATGTATAGTAATGTTTTAAAATAAAAATGTTTTCAATAAAGTATATACAATAAAAGCGAAAAATCCCAGGAGAAAAACATCATTTTTAACTGTTATGATCAAAGTAATAAACATCTGACACCGAAAAGATGTTATAATTTTATTCTTTAATAAAGGGTAATTATTTTATACAAAAAAATCCTAATCAAACCTGCGCAACGGTTATTATTAGGATTATAATTGCGTAACAAAGAAATGAGAACGGCCTTTGTCCTAAATAAATTTATTATGATTGGATAGGTACATGATTCTTTGTCTTGTCGTGATAAATATAACGACGTTGTTTGATCGGAATCAAGGGATGGTACTATTAATTATCGAAGTCTGATACAATATGGATAATTGTATCGAGACGAATTGTATCTTTCTCCAACTAATACAAGTTTATTTAGGAGTTGACATGGTATAGACACGATTCATCTAGCGATAATAGTAGTTGCCTCACACAGATCGCTGGCTACACGAGAGATCGTTTGATTTATCTACCATTACAAATCATGTTTGTCTCGAGTCTGTCTATAAGAGTATCGTATGTTCTACATACCTAATGTTCACTATTTTGAAGGGAACGTCAATTATATAGTTCTGCTTGATATTTACACTTCAATAAATTAGCAATGCTGGTAAGTTTACATATATTAAATATTGAATGTTTTTTCACTAAGCAGCATCTAGCATCTATAGCAGATATATATATATATATATATATATATATATATATATATATATATATATATATATATATATATATATATATATATATATATATATATATATATATATATATATATATATATATATAGAATAGGCCACTCTAGTAAAAAAAGTTGAGAGGCAACGCCCATCTTAAGACACCACCAAAAGCTAACTGCGGTTGTCAATCCGCCTGCTAACCGTGTCAACTACTGCCAAAACACCCCTATGGGGTGACTTATATATAGACTTATATTCAGCATTGAACAGTTAAGAGCTGATATGATATGATATGCTAGAATAAAAAAAAGAGTAGAAGAGAACGTAAACCTATTTATAGAAATTAATGTCTCCCTGTGTGTTTGTTATGACGTCACGTACAAAATTATTAAATGGATTTTAACGTATTTATAAAATTCTAGCTTTTATCCGCAACGTAACTGCGATGTGTTTACTGATCGGGATAAAAAGTAACCTTAGTCTTTCTCCATTCCATTTAGTATAAAATATGCATAGGTACCATTACTTTTATATTTATTATTTATTAGGCTTATAGCTGTTTTAGCTGGTTTTAGTATAAAACTAAAACCAGCTAAAAACAGCTATAAGACAAATAACAAATTCACTCTCACATTTATGATATTACTAAGGATATTGGAATATTTCAATACTTTTTAAAACATATTATTTTTAATTCGTTTAATGAAGATTTAATGGCTAATACAAATAGTAGATATAATACCTACATTTAAAAATATAGACAAATCGATCTAACCACTCTATAGTGCGTTTATCAATGAACACAATTTTATTTTTACTTCTAGCGATAGATCACGCAAGCTGGTATTTATTTCTTTTCACTTTATTATACTATTTATAAAAACAATAAGTACAGTAAGTTTTAATGTGAAGTTACACATAGGAGTCGGCTTTTTGCCAAAGCAATCTTTTATTGACAACTTTGATTTATAAGGAAACTATACTCTGATCTTTTAGCATGATGCGGTTTAAGGGTCACTACTAAATAATTTATTCTATGCCATTCCATTCTATGCCGTGTGGTCCCGGTATATAATGAACCACCTCTTCCTTTCCCGTGGGTGTCCTAAGAGGCGATAAAGGGATTTATTGGTCGAGGGATTGGCAGCAGCGTCTCTCTTAAAACATTACCAAAGCCTAACCGCGTTTGCCAACCCATATGCCAAGCCTAGTACTTCTAGCGAAGACCCTTTTATGAGGGAGACCTATGTTCAGTAGCGGATTACAAAGATTGACTAAATTTGTCAAAATTATTCAATATATGTGGGGTAATATAGTTTATAATTAGGCAGATAGGTTTATGCCTCAAAATCTCACTTAATACAGTTTAATTTAACTACAAAAACTTATAAATTCTTAAATATAGACCGGGAGAGAATCTTATGTTATTATATCTTGTATTATATTAGGTACATATTATTTAATTCTCATTTTGTTTAATAATTTTATTGTAAAATTTGGTAAGTAAAGTATAAATATATAGTACACGACTTACGACATGTATATTGAAATCCATGCATATCTGTAACATGAAAACTAAACTTATCACATAAGTATTTGCTGTGATTATATAAAAGATTTTTACCGGCAGTAAATCCCTTTTAAAACTGTCTTTTTTAATAAAATTCTTTAATATTTTTTTCACATGATTTCTGCTTTGACATTTAACTGGAGTCCACTAGGCTCTATTGAACCTATTCTCTGTTCATAACGAAAATGCTGCTGCGATATCTATTCATATATAAAGCTGTGGTTTACCTAGTGACCTTAATTTAAGAATTTGCGTTGTAATCCCTTAGCAGTTGGCATGGGTCACGTAACTCTGTGATATGGTGGCAGGGTGAGTTACTTCATATTCACTTTATTATTGCAACTAGCGCCGTAACGGATTTGCTAGTGGATATTAACACTTATTCTTATGTTAAAATATTTAATAATTAATAATAATAAGAGCAAAATAAATTCATATATAATATTAATAATTTAATTTATAATTTATATAACATATCATTATTGAAATAAATTTGCATTCATTCAATTATTCATTCATTTTAATGATATTTTATTGTTCGATACTAACGGATTTTTTACAAACTTTTATTTGAATAGAGATAAATGTTATCTCCCTAAAAAAAAAAGATTATAGCTAGTTTACAATAGTACACTTGTACTAGTATACTTAGTATGCACTATATAATATACACATAAAAGTTCACAATTCAAATCCCAGGTTTGAATGGTACCTTAGTTAGACGTATTATTGGAATTAATTATGCACTAAACGTACGTATTATTTAATAATAAAACACGCGTGCAAAGTACCGGGTTATAGCCATTTCATATTATATTTAAAATAGAATATATTAGATTTTAGTTTACTGCATAATAATATTGTTTTATAGCCTGTATATAAAACTGTGAAATCTTATATAGGGGCTGTAAAATAATTTATTGCGATTGCGAAATCATTTTATTATTTTAGTACTTGAATAATTTTTAACGATTCATATTGAAACTGAAGTTACTCATGTGGAAATTGATTAGTTCAAACAATAATAAGAAGATTAAACGAATATGAAGAAAGTAAATTTTTATAAGACATGGAATGATTTATAATGATATATCTACTTTATGGAAAATAATAACCATCGCCTGTAGACATGAACAACACTATGGATGTCACAGGTTCCACTGTGACACTCGTTATTCACCATTCTCGAGGACATAAAATGTTGTAAGTAATTCTATACTGTGTTGTTGTGTAATAAGTAATTCTGTACACAATAATTTTGCTGTCTTATCCCAAATTGAAACAGCAATGCAAGTACAAGCGTTTGATAGCAGAATCATAAGGTATGAATTCAATGTCATAAAGCTATTATTTGTGTTTCAGTTTTTGTTTTCATTTTCTCTAGTATAATGATATCGTGCTTTATTTGTTACATCCTGACGATGCAAAGAGTTGGTATGACATTGTTTTCTCATTACGTTATAAGACAGATCGTCTTCAATGTATCATTATCGAATCGAAAAACAAAAAATACCTTTATTAGTTGGTAGAATATTCTGTTATAAAATAACGTAAGTGTTTTTGAT